TGTTTCTACAAAACTGCAATGTTTTACTTTGAAGAGTTAAAACTGTAGGACCACTACAGAGACCACTTCAATGAGAAAAGTGGCCCAGGTGACTTTAGTGGCCCTTTATTGTTTTTCATTCTACAAATGGCTGGATGTGAATGGGAGCAGAAGCTTTGCACATTCAGACTCCTACCAATATGACCACTTCTAAAAGCAGAAGTGGTTGTGGTGGTTGGCATAACTTTTTAAAGGGACACTCTAAGCATCAAAACAACCTTTATGTAATAACGTGTTTATTTAACAAGACAGGAGATACGAACTTCTAAAGTAAACACACTGCATTACTTTATGGTTAATATTGGTTTGGAGTCAGAATTTCTTTAACATTTCTGTAAATACCTTCATCGTACTTGGAACTGCTGAGCACAGCGAGAGATCTTCCATTCCCCTTTTCTGGAGATCCCTGGACGTCTTTATATTGCCCACTGATCTTCGTCTGATGATCTACTGGCTGGCGGCTGTGAACGCAGGTCATAATATTTACTGGAGAAGATTCAGAAATGGAGTAACCATGAATACGCTACTTTTAATATGTATCCAGTGATGTAACAGTAAATGCTTACAGATGTCTATGGCATTTAAAATAGTGAGTGGCGTATTTGAAGCAGTTAAAACAGAATGAACACAGATCCTCTCCGTATAGTCTATCATTTAAAAATAAGAGGAGAAAAACGCTAACGATCCATTTAAGACACATATTCTACGGTGCCCAAAAGGAAGATCCACAGAGGTTTTAAAATGACAGATTCCATGATGCTTTGTCATTCTAAGGCAAGCAAAGCATCATGGGAGTTGTAGTTCTACAACATCTTTGGATCAAAATGTTGGGCTCCCCTATTCCAGGGTATGGGATATATGGAATGTTCATTTAAATTAAATAAAAACATTGAATTGTGCACCAATGTTGTATTCCTTATAAACCATCCATTTTCTACGTGTATGTTGTGCAAAAGGTGACCCAAATAATAGCAGGTCACATTCGTTATTACACGGTTACAATGGGAGCCTGCTATGTCCCCTTTCTCTGTCACACATCCCTGAAATAAGGGGCATCAAACAGTCTTCAGTCCTAAAATTCTAACCAATCCCCATGTCCTCCTCCCTGTTCATACAAAGCCCTAGGTGAATCCATGGCCAGACAGCCCAGCTCTGAATGGACAATGCATGGAGAGCACATGCTGAGAGGGAACTCTATACAGACTGAGGACTGTGTCCTAGCATGCACTGCAGATGATTGGGGCAGTGAACCTCTCTGACAGATTTAGAGGAAGAGTAATGTTTTATTAACACTGAATGTACCATGGAGGGGGTTACTCTGTGTTGCACTGCAATGCTCCCAGATTTACAATCAGAGGGATTAAGTGTGCATTCTCAATGGAGCATGACAGCTGACAGTTTACTGGGTTCTGTACATGGTTAAATAAAAAGACAGAAACATACACATTATTTGAGCTATTTCTCCCTCTGCTGGCACTGTCATCAAATTATGGGAGCTAGCTCTGGTTAACCCCTGCATGGCTGGCCTGGCGGTAATCACATTATGGGAGCTGGCTCTGATTAACCCCTGCATGGCTGGGCTAGTACTTTAATTAGATGATAGGAGCTGGCACTGATTAACACCTGCATGGCTGGGCTTGCACTAATCAGATGATGGGAGCTGACTCAGGTTAACCCCTGCATGGCTGGACTGGTACTTTAATTACATGATGGGAGTTGGCTCTGATTAACCCCTGCATGGCTGGGCTGGCACTTTAATCACATAATGAAAGCTGGCTCTGGTTAACCCTTGCATGGCTGGGCTGGCACTTTAATCACATTATGGGAGCTAGCTCTGGTTAACCCCTGTGTGGCTGGGCTGGCAATAATCACATTATGGGAGCTGGCTCTGGTTAACCCCTGCATGGCTGGGCTGGCACTTTAATCACATTATGGGAGCTAGCTCTGGTTAACCCCTGTGTGGCTGGGCTGGCAATAATCACATTATGGGAGCTGGCTCTGGTTAACCACTGCATGGCTGGGCTAGCATTTTCATCACATTATGGGAGCTGGCTCTGATTAACCCCTGCATGGCTGAGCTGGCAATATTCACATGATGGGAGCTAGCTCTGGTTAACTCCTGCATGGCTGAGCTGGCACTTTAATCACATAATGAAAGCTGGCTCTGGTTAACCCTTGCATGGCTGGGCTGGCACTTTAATCACATTATGGGAGCTGCTCTGGTTAACCCCTGCATGGCTGGGCTGGCGGTAATCACATTATGGGAGCTGGCCCCTTCATGGCTGGGCTAGTACTTTAATCAGATGATGGGAGCTGGCACTGATTAACACCTGCATGGCTGGGCTGGCACTAATCAGATGATGGAAGCTGGCTCAGGTTAACCCCTGCATGGCTGGGCTGGCATTTTAATGCATGGCTGGGCTGGCATTTTAATCACATCATGGGAGCTGGCTCTGATTAACCCCTGCATGGCTGAGCTGGCAATATTCACATGATGGGAGCTGGCTCTGGTTAACCCCTGCATGGCTGGGCTGGCAATAATCACATGATGGGAGCTAGCTCTGGTTAACCCCTGCATGGCTGAGCTGGCACTTTAATCACATGATGGGAGTTGGCTCTGCTGGCACTTTAATCACATTATGAAAGCTGGCTCTGGTTAACCCTTGCATGGCTGGGCTGGCACTTTAATCACATTATGGGAGCTGGCTCTGGTTAACCCCTGCATGGCTGGGCTGGCGGTAATCACATTATGGGAGCTGGCTCTGATTGACCCCTGCATGGCTGGGCTAGTACTTTAATCAGATGATGGGAGCTGGCACTGATTAACACCTGCATGGCTGGGCTGGCACTAATCAGATGATGGGAGCTGGCTCAGGTTAACCCCTGCATGGCTGGACTGGTACTTTAATTACATGATTGGAGCTGGCTCTGATTAACCCCTGAATGGCTGGGCTGGCATTTTAATCACATCATGGTAGCTGGCTCTGGTTAACCCCTGCATGGCTGAGCTGGCACTTTAATCACATGATGGGAGCTGGCTCAGGTTAACCCCTGCATGGCTGGACTGGTACTTTAATTACATGATTGGAGCTGGCTCTGATTAACCCCTGAATGGCTGGGCTGGCATTTTAATCACATCATGGTAGCTGGCTCTGGTTAACCCCTGCATGGCTGAGCTGGCACTTTAATCACATGATGGGAGCTGGCTCAGGTTAACCCCTGCATGGCTGGACTGGTACTTTAATTACATGATTGGAGCTGGCTCTGATTAACCCCTGAATGGCTGGGCTGGTATTTTAATCACATCATGGTAGCTGGCTCTGGTTAACCCCTGCATGGCCCTACACATTATGACTGGCTCTGGTTAACTGACAATATTCACATTATGGGAGCTAGCTTTGGTTAACCCCTGCATGGTTGGACTGGCATTTTACATGATGGGAGCTTGCTCTGGTTAACCCCTGCATGGCTGAGATGGCACTTTGATCACATGATGGGAGTTGGCTCTGATTAACCCCTGCATGGCTGGGCTGGCACTTTAATCACATTATGGGAGCTGGCTCTGGTTAACCCCTGCTGGCACTAATCACATTATGGGAGCCAGCTCTGGTTAAACCCTACACGACTGGGCTGACAATATTCACATTATGGGAGCTTTGGTTGGTTAACCATGGTTGAGACTGGCATTTGATCACATGATGGGAGCTAGCTCTGGTTAACCTCTGTATGGCTGTGCAGGCACTTTGATCACATTATGGGAGCTAGGTCTGGTTAACCCTTGCATGGCTGAGCTGGCACTTTGATCACATGATGGGAGCTATCTCTGGCTAACCTCTGCATGGCTGAGCTGGCACTTTAAGCACATTATGGAAGCTGGTTCTGGTTAACCCCTGCATGGCTGAGCTGGCACTTTAATCACATTATGGAAGCTGGCTCTGGTTAACCCTTGCATGGCTGGGCTGGCACTAATCACATGGTGGGAGCTAGCTCTGGTTAACCCCTGCATGGCTGAGCTGGCATTTTGATCACATGATGGGAGCTGGCTCTGGTTTACCCCTACATGGATGGACTGGCACTAATCACATGATGGTAGCTGGCTCTGGTTAACCCCTGCATGCCTGGGATGGCACTAATCACATGATGGGAGCTGGCTCTCGTTAATCCCTACATGGCTGGGCTGGCACTAATCACATGATGGGATCTGGATCTGGTTAACCACTGCATGGCTGGACTAGCAAAGGCTTTGTTCAGCAGTTGTTACATGCTGCAGATGCTGTAAATTATTACTTTTGTCATGTATCTGAGCAGATCATTATGAGGGGCAGCATGGGGGGTGGGGGGCAGATATAGAAAGCATGCAGTGATTATTCTGGGAGGATTAGTGCTACATGGGGATTAATGAAGAATTCTCATTAATACAATGGATTGTGCACAGGACAGTCTGGGAGAGGAATGAATGAATGAATATAACTTGTTTATTGCCCTGTGTTTATGTAATCTCCTGCCTGATAGGAAGACCAACAGGTGGATGTGTAGGAATTAGAGTTTAACCCCTTGTATACCAATAGCCAATGTTAAAGACTCAGTTTCTTATCCTCACCTGTATTAACTGAGTTTGTAGAATTGTAATGGCAAAAAAGGCAAGAAACAGGAAAAGGGAGGACATGGGTAAACATGCCATTTAATGAAGACAGGGAGGTGTGGGTTAGCAGATATGCTGATAGCAGGCTGCTCCCACTAATTCCACGCCTCCCCTGGATTTCAAGGTATCACAGCCTGGCTTTCAGCACCATAATCACTGGACAGCCAGGAGACCACAGCCAGGCTCTCAGCTCCACAATCTCAAGACAGCCAGGAGACCACAGCCTGATAATCACTGGACAGCCAGGAGACCACAGCCTGATAATCACTGGACAGCCAGCAGACCACAGCCAGGCTCTCAGCTCCACAATCTCAAGACAGCCAGGAGTCCACAGCCTGATAATCACTGGACAGCCAGGAGACCACAGCCTGATAATCACTGGACAGCCAGGAGACCACAGCCTGCTTTTCAGCACCCCAACCTCTGGACAGCAAAGACACTCAGCATTACAATCAGTGGAAAGCCAAGGAGACCACAGGCTTTCAGCACCACCACCTGTGGACACACTGGATTTCAGTACCACAACCTTTGGACAGCAAAGACTCTCAGTACCACAATCAGCCAAGGACAGTCTGCTCAGTTCTACGGGCTCTCTCAACCATCTTCTTCCACAAATCAAACGGTATCTGTATCAGCCAGAAGTTCTCACACTAGCAGCAATCAGCAGATAACTGTACCAGCCCAAGGTTCCCTGTAAGTATCATTCAAGCAGAGTCAGTATTAGCCAGTAACATTCAGCCAGTGTTTGTAGCAGTAGGAGGTTTCCTATGAGCAGCTATCAGCATTCGTTTGTACCAGCCAGAGGTTCCATGTCAGCAGTAATCAGTCTATGTCTATACTATCCCATGGTTTCCTACTAGCAGCAATCAACAAGTGACTGTACCAGCCAGGAGTTCCCTATCAGCAGCATTCAGACAGTGTCTGCACCAGACAGAGGTTTCAAATTAGCAGCAAACAGTCCGGAGTCTATACCAGCCAGAGCTTCCCTATCAGCATCTGATTCCAGTCTGTGCTCAGTGACAGAGCAGTTTAAGTCTGAGCTCTCACAGCAGGACTGACACTCAATTATTGGAGAAGGAGCTCTCCCAGCAGGACTGACACTCAGTTATTGGAGAAGTAGCTCTCCCAACTGGACTGACACTCAATTATTGGAGAAGGAGCTCTTCCAGCAGGACCGACACTCAGTTATTGGACAAGGAGCTCTCCCAGTAGGTCTGACACTCAGTTATTGGAGAAGGAGCTCTCCCAGCAGGTCTGACACTCAGTTATTGGACAAGGAGCTCTCCCAGCAGGTCTGACACTCAGTTATTGGACAAGGAGCTCTCCCAGTAGGTCTGACACTCAGTTATTGGACAAGGAGCTCTCCCAGCAGGACCGACACTCAGTTATTGGAGAAGGAGCTCTCCCAGCAGGACCGACACTCAGTTATTGGAGAAGGAGCTCTCCCAGTAGGTCTGACACTCAGTTATTGGTGAAGGAGCTCTCCCAGTAGGTCTGACACTCAGTTATTGGAGAAGGAGCTCTCCCAACTGGACTGACACTCAATTATTGGAGAAGGAGCTCTCCCAGCAGGACTGACACTCAGTTATTGGAGAAGGAGCTCTCCCAGCAGGACTGACACTCAGTTATTGGAGAAGGAGCTCTCCCAGCAGGACCGACACTCAGTTATTGGAGAAGTAGCTCTCCCAGCAGATAGAAGGAGCAGACAGGTATTGGAGCTCTGTGAGTATTTGGAGCTAAGGCTACAGACAGACACCCTCCATGTCCCCCTGACCTCTGGGATCAACACTCCCGATTTACTGATAATGAATAGCTCAGGTCTTCTGGGCTCACCGACCCCCGAGGTGGGTACAGAGACCACCCTGGTGCTGCCCCTCATCCTGGCCACCATTTGTCTGCTGGGCTTCACAGGGAACCTGCTGCTCATTGCCACTCTCCTACATGACGTCCGCAGTGGTAAGTGCTCGCTGGTCAACCTCCTGGTGATTCATGTGGGGGCCACCGACCTGCTGCTGCTGGCCCTGTGCCTGCCCATGCTACTCGTATCTCAAGCCCGCCAGTCGTGGGTGCTTGGACACTTTGCCTGCAGGACCTCAGACTGGTTCGTACATAGTTGCCACATAGTCAAGAGCCTGACCCTGGCTGCCATCAGCCACGCCCGGTACCGCCACGTGCTGTCCCCACCACGTCTGCAGCCTGTCAGTGGGGGACGGGCCGGGGGCCTGCTGCTTCTATCCTGGTCCCTAGCCCTCCTGCTCCCACTGCCACAGCTGCTCTTCTCCCGGTTGGAAGAAGAGGGAGGGCGGCTGCGATGCGAGCTGGACATCCCGGCCAGGGCAGAACCGTTCATGGCGGTGTTCTCTAAGCTGTACCCACTGCTGGTCTATGTGCTGCCCGCTGCCTTCACCATGGGCTGTTACACCCGAGCCCTGCAGCGGAGGCGGGAGCGCAGGAAGAGGCTGTGTGGTCAGCGTGCCGGGAGCCGGAGAACCACCGCCATGCTGCTGGCTGTCGCCCTGGCCTTTCATGCGCTGTGGCTGCCGCAGTGGCTGGTGTGGCTGTGGGCCCGGCATGGTTCAGCTCAACCCCCAGCCTCCATGCTGGTTCTGGCCCAGGTTCTACTGTTTGCAGACTGTGCTCTGCCCCCAGGCCTCTTCCTGGCCGTGTCCCCCGACTTCAGAGACAGCTGCTGGAATGCCTGGCCCCTGGCACGCTGTCGGCCCCCACATGACAACAGCTCAGATATGGCCACCATACAATCTCTGCACGACTTGCCCTCCACTCGCCTGGCCCCCAGGGGCCCCCAGGACACCAGGGATGGCAAGTTCCTCCCAGACGTGGAGCATTTTTGGCAGGATCGCAGGAACACCACAGCTGGGGAGGACAATGACCCCATGCCATGGGAGCATCAGACAGAGCCATGACAGGGCTAGCCAAGAAAACCCCCAGGGGGCCATGTGAGTGTGACTAGTGACATGGTGACCATTGCAAAAACTGGACATGGACCATGTGAGTGTCACTAGTGACCAGGATAGACACATGGTAGTGTGACTGGTGGGCAGAAACTTGGCATGGACAATGTGAGTGTGACTATTGATAGAGTGAATAGAGCAATAACTGGGTGTGTACCATGATAGTGTGACTAGTAACCAGGGCAATGAGTAGGCATGGACCATGTGAGTGTGACTAGTGACATGTGACCTGGGCAATAACTTGGCATGGAACATGGTAGTGTGACTGGTGACAGGGTGACCATGGAAGACACTGGGCATGGACCATGTAATTAGTGACAGGGTGACCATGGACCAGGGCAGACAAAGGAAATGGACCATGTGAGTGTGACTAGTGACAGGGTGACCATGGAAGATACTGGGCATGGACTATGATAATGTAACTAGTGACAGGGTGACCAGGGCAATAAGTGAGGATGGACGATGTGAGTGTGACTAGTGACAGGGTGACCATGGAAGACACTGGGCATGAACTATGATAATGTTACTAGTGGCATAGTGATCTGCGCAGACACTTGGCATTTACTATGTGAGTGGCATGGACCATGGTTGTGTTACTAGTAACAGAATGGCCAGGGCACTCACTGGGCATGGGTAATGGGACTAGTGACAGGTTGAAGGATCAGCCCTCACTGCTTAGTGGAAATGATCAGCTCAGTGACACAGCAAGAGTTCAAGCCACACATATTGTGGGATATTCTCCAGTGGGAATCAATCAGTTGGTGGGCAGATGGAGAATGGACACTTTGTGACTTTACAGGATGATGTAAGTGTGTTAGAGAGAATTTGTTAGCAGTACTATTGGAATCTGTCAACATGTGTGTAATGTATTGTAAGGTCACACAGAACCCACTAGATTTGCCAATAAAGATCAAAAAGAATTGATGTAAGAAGAATGATCCTTCCTCATGGACTTAATCTTTCTCATTGAAAAGGGCAATCTGATATCATCTAATACATTTTCTGTCGGTCCTAGGTTTATGTAAGCCTGGAAGTCTGTAATAAGGTTTGAATAAGATTACAGAAAACCATTTTAACTCAATAAGCAATAGCTACCTTCATTTAAATCCACTCTATGGACAAATTGCTTTATGTGTATGTTGGTATCAGTGTGTGTATTTGTGTGTGGGTATAAGTGTGTCTGTAGTGTGGGAGTCTATGTGTGTGAATATCAGTGCGATTATATATGTGTCTGTGTATATAGATATTAGTTTGGGACAGTGGTTTGGGTGTCATTGTGTATATTAACGGTATATAGTGTATGGGCATCTGTGTTAGTGTGGATGTTAACATGTGTGTTTGTTTGTATGGATAGTAGTATATGGGCATCAGTTTGGGTGTCAGTGCAGATCTATTTGTGTGTATTTGTGTGGATATTAGTGTATGAGCATTGGTCTGGGTCTCAGTGTATATGTATGTGTGTCTATGGATATTAGTGTATGGGCATTGGTTCTGGTATCAATGTGGATGTATGTGTGTGTATGGATATTAGTGTATGGGCATTGGTTCTGGCGTCAGTGTGAATGTATGTGTGTCCGTGTGTATGGATATTAGTGTATGGGCATTGGTTCTGGCGTCAGTGTGAATGTATGTGTGTCCGTGTGTATGGATATTAGTGTCTAGACATTGGTTTTGGTATCAATGTGGATGTATGTGTGTGTATGGACATTAGTGTATGGGCATTGGTTCTGGCGTCAGTGTGAATGTATGTGTGTCCATGTGTATGGATATTAGTGTCTAGACATTGGTTTTGGTATCAATGTGGATGTATGTGTGTGTATGGACATTAGTGTATGGGCATTGGTTCTGGCGTCAGTGTGAATGTATGTGTGTCCGTGTGTATGGATATTAGTGTATGGGCATTGGTTCTGGCGTCAGTGTGAATGTATGTGTGTCCGTGTGTATGGATATTAGTGTCTAGACATTGGTTTTGGTATCAATGTGGATGTATGTGTGTGTATGGACATTAGTGTATGGGCATTGGTTCTGGCGTCAGTGTGAATGTATGTGTGTCCGTGTGTATGGATATTAGTGTATGGGCATTGGTTCTGGCGTCAGTGTGAATGTATGTGTGTCCGTGTGTATGGATATTAGTGTATGGGCATTGGTTCTGGCGTCAGTGTGGATGTATGTGTGTGTCTTTGGATATTAGTGCATATGTGTATGGATATCAGTTTGAGTGTCAGTTTGCTTGCATGTTGGTATTACTGTGTGTATTTGTGTACGTAATGAATCTGTGTTTGCATGTGTTTGGTAGAGCTGGGCAGAGAGAATTAATAGATTGAAATCCATTGAATGATAATCTTTTCCACTTATCTGGTATTCCATTAAATTGACAAAGGTTATTTCACGATATATACAGATATTTTTATATTTGATGTATTTTGGAGCTTCATAAACACAAATCCTCCATATATGTATGACCGTAAATGCATTTATTAAACAGGTATTATTAGAAAATGGACATGCAATAAATGCATTTATTAAACAGGTATTATTAGAAAGTGGACATGCAATAAATGCATTTGTTAAACAGGTATTATTAGAAAATGGACACACACACCTACACACACACACATATATAATAGCCCCTTTGATAACCCTTTAGTACCGGACTACTAGCCTTGAATTTTTTATTTGTGTGAGCTGACAAAGGCCTCGATTTAATCAACTTTCCAATTGACTTGATACTGTTAGAAAAGTTTCCAAGTAATTTATCTGCAGAAGTCACCATTAATGTCTGTAGAAATTTTTGTTCCTAAATAATTTTGACATTTTTCTAACAGAATTCCTTTGAAAAGCATGTTAAATTGAGGCCAAAGTATCTTACCAATCTTGCAAATGACTGTCGTATATATATGCCAAAATAGACAAGCTCAATGTAATCGTCATTTTGGCAGTAATTTATTAAATGAATACTGAATCTGGTTGACGATTACCTTTCTGGTAAAAGTAACAGTGTGTGTAATCTGTATTGTACAGGTA